GGAAAAACGAGATTTACCGTGTTTTTCCGAAAATAAAACATCCCCCGAAAATAAGCCCTATAGAGATTTTTGGAACTTTTTGTAATATATTAAGCCCTCCCCCTATAATAAGCCCTGGTAAAAATAATGTGTAAAAAATAATTCGTTAAAAAATGATTCTGTGTAAAAATACATTCTGCGTAAAATAAATAAATATTTAATAAAAATGTATAAATATACTTTTATTTTTGTTCTCCCCCGAAAATAAGCCCTAGCGTATATGTTGGACCAAAAAAGAAAGTAAGACAATGTCTTATTTTCGGAAAAACACGGTACTAAAAATCGACGTAAATACGTACAAAATAAAGAGTTCTCTGGCTTTCTTAAAATTTTCCCATCATTTGAATGGCATTTTTGAAATCTAGTATAACGCTTCACTGTAAACTAAAATAACAAGAGTTTTGTTAGAATTTATATTCTAAACAGAAAAACATTATGCAGCCAATCAAGTACGTTCAGAAAACATGTGGTTTTCTTGATTGCTTCGGCAACTTTTTAAAATTATCAATAATTTAATTGATATTATTATTAATATATTTACAAACATTTATATAACATCGAAGTGTATTTGCTATTATACTCAAAAATTTAGAAAAAATATTTTAATCGGAATACATTGAAATATAAACCTTTAAGTATTGTTTTTGTAAATGCTGTTACTTCGGAGTACTTTAGAATACTTCGGAAGATAATTTCAAATTGGTTGCCTAAAAGATATGTTACGCATTGCATTTATAATTAAACATTTTTAAAAAAAATTATTACGAAAATATTATCTTCCTCGGTATAGAAAATAATAAAGCCAAAACACAAAGGCAACGCCAAACATTTAATCATTTTATGAAAAATTTATTTCCTATAACTTTTCAAACTAAGTCCTGACTATATAAACTCAAACTTGCGAATGATTATTTTCACTTGATACAAAGTTTTCCAAAATATTTATGTAATTTTATAAATTTCAAATAGAACAAAGATCAAAATACAATAACTAGCTGTAAAAGCATGTTGCGGACATTTGTAAAAGCTTCAATTCAAATTTTTTACATAATTTTTAAAATTTATTTTTTCTTTCTTTTCAGAATACCCTAGTGTTCATTTCGATTCTCATAACAGTTTTTGGTATACATTCAACATTTGGAGTGTTCTAGAAAATTTAGTTGAAAGTTTAGATGATGCAGCATCATTAATATTAAATCCCGTTGCTAGTATTGCGAACAATGCTACGGAAACAGTTTTTAATTTATTAAGTAATGTTAAAAATGCAATAATTGGAGGTACTCAAACAGTATATGAATTGCAAGATGTTTTGCAAAGTTTACCTCCAGTTCTAAATGAATTTAATGATTTAATAAACAGAATTCAAAATCAAAGTGGAATTATCTATACAGTCAGTTCGCTTCCAAAAATTAAAAAATCTGTACTTCAAATAATTGATGATATTAGTGTTTTAGAAAAAAATTTGGAAAGTGTTCTAAGTGAAGCTACAAATACAATATCCGCCATTCAAAAAATTTTAAATAAATTATATTTAATATAAAGGAAAATAATATAGCCGTCAAAAATGTTGAATAGAATTTTGGGTAATCTAAAATTAAAATTTTTTTTTAAATAAATTTTGTATAGCTACAGAAACTAAGTTTAGCTGTGAAACTATCAAATAAAATGAAAAGTGTTTAAAAGTGTTGAATAATTTAATTACAAAATAAGAAAAATACCTGACAAAGAGGACAATGATTTGAAGAATGATGCCTTTAAATAAGTTTCTAAATGAGATTCAATTGAGTCTTTAAAATTTTAAGTTAAATGAAAAAAAAATATGATGAGTTGATCGTGTTGTAGTACGAATGCTATGTGACAGCCAATAGCTATGTGACAGTTGTTGAAAATAATTCATATTAACATTATTTAAAATTTTTATATAAATTTCAATAGTGTAGGCCTTATAATTTCCAAGATATCTTGGAAATTATTTATTAATTAGTTATTATAAGAACCATAACCAAATTTGGTTAGGGTATCGGCTCTATTATTAACCTCATTTGTTTAAGTACAACTATACTGCCTTTTAGCTTTCAAGATATAATTAAATTATTTTCAGTGTTGTATGGCTGCTATTGTAAAACATTTATGCAACTACTACATATAGGAATATCCCAACAAGAGAACAGTTTTTGTTGGAAACAGTAACGATCAGGAGATACAACCATACTGTCAAACTTAAACAGTAACAATAAGAAGTCCGCTACTTATAACACCAGAATTTTCAGAAACGAAAAAATTACCTAGTTCAAGAACTCCGGAAAAATATACTTTTTTTAAAACTTTATAGTTAAATTTCAACAAAAACAAAATTAAGTTTTGATGGTTATAATTAAATAAAAGAATATGACACAAGTGTTGTCGGGAACCTCACAAACGAACTTCATTTCGAAATATTATATTTAATATTCAGAATTGAATTCCTTTATATTATGCTATGGCCACACAAATTTTCAAGCTTTTTTATACAGGCGCGAAATGTACTCTAAACTTCAATGCTATATTCAAAGGTATTAAAAACCAATGTATTGCATAGGTGGAATTTTCTCAATTTTGTTAACAAAAACTCAAATAAATTTTGACGATGTTTAGAAAAGATAATGGCCAAAACAATTAAGTTTCTTAATTTTTAAATGGCAAGAATATTAAGAAGAGATGGCAATAGTAAATAATATCGTTTCACAAATTCATCAAGAAAACACTGCTTTTATTTTCTATTTTATATTTTAACTTTCAGATATCAACTTCTTTTAAATAATTATATAAATTTTTTATCAACGAAATTGCATACCGCAAGGGAAATATTGTGATGGCACTAAATTTCGCCTGTCAATTCTTCAACGCAAATGCAATTTTTTGTAATATTGAAATGTAGAGAAACTATTTCAAGAAAGATATTTTTGTGTTTGTCTTTAAGTCTCTCAGTCAGTCTAGACACTCATGTTTTAAAATTTCGGATGCAATATATGTATATATGTAAAATGGATTGATAAAATTTTGGGATAGTTATATATGTTAGGTTTCAGCAACTTGTCCTTTATTACAGGCCAACCTTACATTATTGTCGATTTTTGAGAAAATTATTGACATATTTTTTATACCAACACAAGTGTTCGAGAACACCATTAACTGAAATCTCACTGCTAACAAAATTTTACATTTTTATAGGAAAGTTTTCGGAAAATATTAGGGTTCGGAGACCTAAATTTCACTGTGAGCTTATTTTAGAAAACCAAATTTATCTATTTGAAGGTATTTTAATTATTTTGTGCAATACTTTTTATAAACTATACAAAATAAATTAGTTGCGATCAGTTATGTGCTGATCATATCAAATTTCTTCTCTATATACATTTAAGATACTAAGTTGAAAGTTGAAAGGAATTGGTAACACTGGTTATCAATGTGATATAACGAATTTAATATTTAATATGTACAACTGTACGGTACATATACAGGGTGTTACATGTACCATAATTGTATACTCGTGTGCAGATATACACGTTTTCGAGCTACAGCCTGTTGAAAAAAAGGGACTAGACTTTTCCTTGACATAAAAGAATTTCTATAACTTCGGCAACATACAACATAGAGTTATCATTTGGAGATTGTTTTACAGGCGATTAATTTTCCTTTACTTTTGGTTTTACAATTAATTTGATTTGAGTCTTAATTTTCGAGCTACAGCGCGACATAGTTAGAATTTTTGTTTTTTTTAACTTTTTTAAATTATATGCGAAACACCTTGTATAGGGTACAGTAAATATACACATATTAATGTTTAATAAACTTTTATTTACTCAACTGCTTAATAAAAATCATATTGAAAATCACTTCGGGTATATAAATTAAATTTTGAAATTAATTATCGTCATTTCGACAAGGATTTTTAAAAACAATATACATATACGCATTTCAAATGGAAAAAAAAATTAAAAAAAAAAATGTGCTGAAAAAATTGGAGACTGGTGTCTTTACCTATAACAGTATATTCATAAATATATTATGTATGTATGTGTGAGAGGCTGCTAATTCGGAAATATATTGACTTAATTTTGTTTTTCTTATGAATATCGCACATACATATGTACGTATACTTTAGTACATAATGTTTTAATTTACTGACAATTTAATTATAGTTGTGCCTTAAAACTACTTAAAATTCATACACACACATAGCATATGTGATTTATCTCAATAAATATTTGTATTAAATGTACTTAATAAAATTTCGAGAAAAATAATTAAAGAAATTGACATAATTAATTTTATAACATTATTTTGCAACGCATTTACATACATATATTATATTTTAAAAAATATTTAATTACATACATACATATATTGTAAATATTTATTATTTTGGAGTTTAAAGATTAATGTCAAAATGTGGGCCTTCAGATTTGAGATTGAAATCAGGACATATTGAATTTAAACTAGGAGAAGCATTTGAAAAAATAAAAACGATATTAATATATTAATAAACGATATTAACGATATTAATATATTTAACTATTAAAGCGTAGAAAAGTTAGGTTATGTTAGACTGTCGCAGATACCGTAAGGCTACATAAGTAATTTAACGTTTTGCCACCATTTTTTTCGATTCTTATGAACTTGAATTCACTACATGTACCTAGCATACAATTTAATATTGTTCGCTCTGGTACTTACTAAGTTTTACCTTAAACCTTTAGCACTTATTGACTTTAACTATAGAAATTAGAAGATATTCTAATTTTCTATTCTAATTTAGAAAATTAGTTTACGCATACAATATCTGTGCAAATGTGCCTACATTTAAATATATTAATTTTTTTTCAAATGTTTATTCAATTGTTTTAGAAAAAAAATGATATTTAAGAATTGTCTCGCGTATATAAATTGGATTTCTAATTAAATATTATCACTTTTAAAAGGATTTTTAAAAATATTGTATACCTATACATTATTTAAATTATAAAATAAACGAAATTTATAGTGCGATAAAAATGATTAAAAAAATTGTACGTATATATTATTTTCTTAATAAATATTTATATAGAAGAGGTGTAATAAAAATAATTAATTATTAACAAAAAAAAAAATTAACACATTTATTTTTTTTTTTATTTTTTTTTAGAATATTTTCTTGGTTTTTCCACTAATCGCAATATTTTTTACGAAATATTCACTAGCTAAAGCTTCACTTGGTGGTGCAGTAGGAAATTTAATTGATGATGTTGTAGATGGTGTACCACCAATTGTTAATGGAGTTAATGTTTTATTTCAAGGTGTTGTTAATGCTGTACCTCCAGTATTAGGTGAAGTAAATAGTTTAGTACAAGAAGTTGCAGAAGCAGTACCACCAGTTACCGAAGAAATAAATGGTATAATACAAGATGTTGCACAAGCTGCACCACCAATATTTGATGGTGTACACAGTATATTTCAAGAAGTAATTGATGCTATTCCACCATTATTCAATGAAGTGAACGGTTTATTACAAAATGTTGCAAATTCAGTTAATCCAATTATTAGTGAAGTAAATCAATTGTTTCAAAATGCTGCAAATGCTGCAAATGCTGCAAGTAATGATATACAAGAATCAACAAGTGGTGGTAGACAAAAATCAAAACATCAATAAAACGGAATATACACATATATGTACATACATATGTAACATATTTAAGAAAAATGAAAATAAAATGTTTAGTAATAAAATATTTGAGAATGTTATCAATTAAACATGTGCGTGTTTAATCAATTAAGCATACATACAGTTATAGTTGATATATATATAACAGGATATTTTGTTTTAAATATTTTAGTAATCAACGTTCTATTTTAATCAACTTAAGAAGCTCAGTCATTTTGGGTTTTTTTTATAAAGTTTTGACAAACTTAAAAAATCGTACTGAAATAATTTCAGTATTCTATAATTATTATAGCAAGTATTTTTTTCATTTTTGCTCGAAAAATTGACTGAGAAGATGAAGTTGAATTATAATATCATTAATTACAAGTCTTGCATGCGAAATTCAAAAAGAATTTGTTGGCTACAAGTAAAAATTCCTAAAATTAACTATCCAAAATTAAATTGTGTGGAAATTTAAACAGCAGAGTACGATAGCTCTATTTTTAAATATAAGTATGTGTGAAATTAAATGCAGGGTGTTCCGTATCTAAGTGCACAGTCATATAGTATAGGCCCTCATGTGGAGACAATATTCCCTCACTTTTATATGGAGACAATATTCACACCTCAACAGACTTCGAGTTACAAAGGCTGAAAGCCAATCTCGACTCACGTTTTTACTTTTTGAAATTTTGAGTATGAACTGAAAAATACAAAATTCAATTAATATTTAATAATATAAATATATAATTAAATATTAATTGAAAACCTAAGAAGCCCTTATCCCCATGATCTTCTGAAATTTCGGAGTTATGTATATAATTGCTTACCTTTTGTATGCATAAAGTTTTACATGTGTACATCATACATATATGAAAAATTCAGTTTTAACGCAGGCCTTCCCTATAGATGCCATCGCACAATAAAAATATACGTTACATAATTTATAATTGCAATATATTCAAAAACTTATGGTTGATCAAATTTATACATATATTCTCAAAGCAGAGTACCTACATGTTAATGTCAATTTTATGACTAAAATTTTTTTTAAAACTTCAGCATATATGTACGTATGCATCAGCAACGTCAGCATATATGTACTGCATTAACATTACGGTATAAGTTTTAAAACAAAGAAATGACAAAGAATTTTAAAAAATTAGCAATCTAAAGTCGTTCTTTATTCGAAATTTGAGGTATGAGCACAAGTATTCTACTCAAGCTTAAGAGACAAAGTTTTTATCGCTCAAATTACTATTAGAGCATGTATTTTTTAATAATTTATTTTGTCAACTTTTGTTTATATTCGCATGTAAATCTAATTTGAATTATTTTTTTAAAGTTTAATGACTTCCGGTTGATGATCTTATCAGTAGACCAACAATATGAAGGTGCTAAAATTATATGTACAGCAAAAAAGCAAAACAAATATTTTTTTCTAAACTTATTTTTATTAACGCGTTTGTTTGCTGTTTCTCTTCGTATTTATTCAATTGTTTCATAAAAACTATTAAATTTGAAAATTTACTATTAGACATTTTTATATTAGGATTAAAACACCTCCTTGAAACTACATACATTCACGTTTATATGTATATATATTTGTGTATATATACGTATACATATAAGTACGTACGTATATAGAAAATTGTAAGTGTTATTAAAAGAGCACTATACTTCCCATTTGCTTTAACAGAACCAAATTTAATCAATTATAAAAAGTAATTAATTTATTAAATGAACATTCTAAATAATAGATCAAATGTAATCGCAAAATGTAATAGAAAAACCAATCTTAATCATAAATCAAAACTTAATCAAATACTAAGTAAACCTGACCAATTATGATAAATCATAACTAAGTAAACCTGATCAATTTGCATTAATATAGCTGGCAGTAAACGTAACCAGTTAGGTATGTCCTAAATTTAATTCTCTGACTCAAATGAGATCGTTATCAAATTAGTATTTTAGTAACATATACGTGAAAATTTTCATGAGTAGGTCGACTTAGAATTCAACACGGTTAAAAAATATTTTTGTTTTAGAAGACCAAGTGCAGTTTCCATAGAAAGGCGTTCAAAATAAAAATTAAGAACGTTTATTTAATTTTTACAACAATAAATAGAAAATAAATTAGGGGCACAATAATAAGATAAAACTTTATATTTGATCTTAGACACAATAATTAAAAAATATGAAATTTTATCTTATAATTGTGCCCCTAGTTATAAATTTAAAAAATAATATTGCCCAAATAACATTTATTCAAATTGGTGTACATTTTTTATACTTATTTTTACCTTGTTAAACTTAACGGAATGCGTTAAGATGCAATATGCTGTTGAAATTTTATCCCTTGTGTTCATCATCAAATTTTTCATTTTTTTCCTTTTGTTTATCATCTGATTTCTCTTGTTTATCATCTGATTTATCTTGTTTATCATCTGATTTCTCTTGTTTATCATCGGATTTCTCTTGTTTATCATCGGATTTCTCTTGTTTATCATCGGATTTCTCTTGTTTCTCATCTGATTTGTCTTCTTGTTCAGGTCCAATTACTGGAAAAGAAGGAGCGCCAATTTCATAAATTATGCTAGTTTCTTCAATAATTACAGGCGGTATACCGTTTACAAAATCTTGAAGCATGTTGTTAACTTCATCAATAGCTGAAGGAATAGCAGCAGCAACTCCTTGCATCATATTATTTACCTCCATCATTACATCAGGAACACCTTCTATGATTTCTAAAACAACACCATTTACATTATCTATCACCGGTGGTATATCCTTCATAACATTTTCAACCATAATGTTTACTTCCTCCATTACTGGTTGTACGCCATTTACAATTCCTTGAACTACATTATTAACTTCACCAAATAAAATCGGTAAACTCTGTCCAACATTTTGAAGGAAATTTCCAAATTCATCAAATATTGGAGGTGCGGCATCAACCACTCCTTGCACTAAATTATTAACCCCGTCTACAGCTGGTGCAATAGCGTTAGTCGCGTTTTGAAATAAATCATTTACTTCAGCGACTATGGGAGGACCAGCATTTACAACATCTTTGACTAAACTATTTACATGATCAATTACTTGAGGTACGCCATCTGCAAACTCATTGAATGCATTGTTTACTTGTCCAATTATTGGAGGTACAGCATTCAAAGCGTTGTGAACTACGTCATTAACTTGCCCAACTACAGGAGGCACAAACTCCATAGTGTCTTGAATTAAATCGTTTACTTGATGAATAACTCCAGGTGCAGCGTTAACAGCTTCTTGAACCATGACATTAACTTGCGCAAATACTGGAGGTACAGCATCTGCTACATCCTTCACTAAATGGCTTACTTGATCAATCACAGGTGGTACAGCACCAGCAACATTATGTATTACATTATTAACAGCATCGAAAACTGGAGGGGCAGCCTGTTTTACGCCAGTCATGAAATCTGCACAAACTAAATTTGTTGAGAAAAATATCACACCAATAGCAACAAACGATAAAATTTTCTAAAAGAGATTAACATCAGTAATATTTTATAAAAAAAAAATTATTACTTAAAAAACTTACAATTTTCCGTAGCATATTTAAGCACAACTTTCTTATTTTCTTTGAAATGTGTTTACAATTCCCAAACTTTTTGAAGAATTAATACTAATCATTTTTTAAACCCACTTATATACTTACAATAAATAAAATTCTTTGCCTAAAAATTCAAGAATTCAAATTTTGCAAAAACAATTGAACAAATACGAAATTTGATAACAGTATTTGAAAAATTTTAATTATTAATAAATAATTAAAAAATAATTGAAGAAAATTTAAATTGGCATATTTTATATCAGTAATGCTCAACATGCGGCCCTATTAGAATTACAGTTTCGAACTAAATAATAAAACAACGATGTTAAAAGGAAACAAGATTAAATTTAATTAAGTTTCAATTTAAAAGTTTTAATGCGGAAATGTAAGGTCATAGAATTCGGCGATTTTATCAAACGGTTTTATTAGTAACCATAAATATTGATCATAAAATTCTGTAGTGCGTACAAATATGAAGAAATGCTTAAAATATTTTAAAATTGGCTTAATTTTTAATGTTCTATTTGTGCATTTAAATTTTGTAATCAAATCAGTCCAATGATTTATGAAATTAAAATATATTTTAAAAACATAAACTAAAATATTTTAAATAAATTTCCAATTGTTTTAAAATAAAATTTAAAATTTAACAAAGATTCCATTGAACGTGAATAAATTAATTTATAATTTTTTTATTTGGCCCATCAAGTGGTTTTTGGTTTGACAAACCTGCATTAAGTGACACGTCAAATATATTTTTTTAAAACTCTCTGCACCATAAAATGATTATTAAAATGAAATCAAAAATTTCATTTTAATAATTTCAGAATGTCAAAGTGTTGATTTAGTATTATTCAAAAAGTACTAACTCAATCATAACTTGGCAATAATTTGATTATTTCGGACATTTTTTGTTATATAATTCACACACTATTTCAAAAAATCAATATCAATGTTGTTTTATAAGTTATAACACATATATAGTTCATGTTCAGCACTTTATAGCCTGCTAATATAACTACATCAGCATGCAATTTTATGTGCGTTCAAAATATCTATCGTCTGAAAGCTGAGTCTTTGCTTTTCTGTATCGAGCTTTTTCTAGTTTTTAGCAACTTGAGAATCTTGAATCCATTATTTGCATAAAAATATGACAATTTCCGTATTTTTACCATGTAGTCGTTGAAAATATCATCTCCTTACCTTATTTAATTTCTTGTCCTACTATACTATAGACTTAACTAAACTTTTCACTTACAAGACGTTGTTAAATTTTTTTGAATGCTTGATCCAATATGCTATTACGTAATCTTGTATCAAAGAGACATCATTAACGATAACATATCATGTTTTGTTATTTATTAATCTACTTTTACGTTAATATCATAAAAGTAATAAAACATAATTAAATA